CCAGTTTGGAAGTCCTCGAGATCCTGGACCATTAGACAGTGTCAGATCCCTTCCAGGCTGTATTTGATATAATTTCTCATTGCAAAACCTTAAGTGGAACTGTAAGGTTTAGTTGCTTTCATCATCTCTGATAACACCTCAAGCCTGGGTCCCAGTTCTTTAAGAGCACAAAGAAAAAAAGCGACGTATTGGACACCCAATAAAAGAGAATTTGTGTTATCCACAGTTAGTTTGAATTTAACTTAATTGTTTATTACTCTGAGGTCTCTGAAGGATAAAGAATATGGAATAAAATATTTCTATCACCTCAGCCTTTGTAAAAACATTCACAACCTGTTAAACACCAGGGTCACTAACTCTGAAATGATCTCACAATTTGATTTCATTATATTTTAATTGCAGATGATATATTGCAGGGTTCACGGAGGGTGAGAAGCTGGGACTAAGGGAACACTAAACCCCTGCTTTTTTAAAATTCTCCAGCCAGATGTACTGCAGGCAGGTGCAACACAAACTCCCAAATACCCTGCTAAGGTAACGAAAGCCTGACCTAGAGGGACCAATGTGAACGGGCTTTTCAGCCTCGTGCTTATTCAGTTCTGGCTGTGGAAAGGCTGCCAACGGGGGACGTGCTGCCAGAAGCATGGTGGTTTTTTTAATGCAAAGTTGCAAAACCACAAAACTCATTTTTACTAGTGACCTTTTTACCACTAATTGTCGGGGTACTTAAAAAAAAAAAAAAAGAAAAAAAAAGAAGCAAAAAAAAAAAAGAAGCCCATTTGGTCAGGGCTGAATTGACACCCCAGAAACGCTGCCCCAGCAGCTGCTCCCACACCCGACTGCTGTTTTCCCAGTGTTTGCATCCAAACTAGACTGGGTCCTGCTTGGATAAGTCAGACAGCTTTTTGGGTTGTTGTTTTATTTTTTTTCTTGAAAAGCAGCTTTTGATTGTGAAATAAATTACCAAAAAATAGCTGGAGTGTTGGAAAGAGGGAGCAAGGAGTCAGGGGTGGGGGTACAGACAAGGAGGGCTCCAGGGCCATGTCTGCACCAAATGCTGTGTAGAGGTAGTTGCTTTTTTCCCCTTGCTTTTGCTATTTTTTTTCTCTCTAAGAACACATAGGACTATTTTATTTTATTTTATTTCTAAAGTTTTTTTACACATGGACTAGTCAGTAGCTACAGCTGGACTCGCTGTCCCTATGAGAGTTCAACCAAGTTTTGATCTCCTCTGCCCAGGTTTTAATACTCGTTCATTCCCTAATTTCATTAGAACTGGCGACATGTAAGAGGTGTATTTGTGAGCAGAGATTGACCTACTTTCCTGCCTCCTCTGCCCAGCATTTTACAAAGGCACGAAGCCGACGCTCAGCTGGGGGCAGTGGGACTCAGCCAGGTGACCTTAAAGCCCATCCAGTTCTGCACTCTCCATACACCTTCATGGAGAATCCCAACTGCAAATGAAAAAAGCAGACCAGTTTACTTTAACAAGTTCCAATACATTATAAGAACTTGATGTTCTTGAGCTGCTTTATTTATAATTTTTGCCATGTTGCAGTTTTATAGAATTACAAGGGTTGGAAGGGACCTTAAAAATTACATTTGTTCCACCCCCTGCCATGGGCAGGGACACCTTCTACTAGCCCAGGTTGCTCCAAGCCCCGTCCAACCTGGCCTTGGACACTTCCAGGGATCCAGGGGCAGCCACAGCTTCTCTGGGCAACCTGTGCCAGGGCCTCCCCACCCTCACAGGGAACAATTTCTTCCTAATGTCTAATCTAAACCTATCCTCTTTCAACTTAAAGCCATTCTCCCTTGCCCTGTCACTCCATGTCCTTGTTCCAAGTCCCTCTTCAGCTCTCTTGGAGCCCCTTTAGGCACTGGAAGAGGCTCTAAGGTCTCCCTGGGACCTTCTCTTCTCCAGGCTGACCAATCCCAATTCTCTCAGCCTGGCTTGAGTCTTTTCTCCCACCACTGTCAAAGGGCCCAGATTGTCACACTCGGTATCTGTTGTTGCTTTTACAGACAGAAAATAGAGAAATTTCCAGCTTAAACAATAAAGAACCAGAATTTGCAATAAAGGGGCTGACGAATAAGGGTTTGGGGATTGTGCTTGGTCACGTTTATGTGATGAAGGAAATCTCTCTTCTACCAAGGGATTTTGTTATTGCTGGGTCTGTTTGCTGTTTTTAGCCTTTATCTCCCAAATTTTTCCTGTGGTCCAGAAGTCCTAAGGTGATTTCCTCTCCCACTTCAAAGCCACATCTTCCCTGAGTGGAAGATGTGTACCCCTGAGACAGCTTGGTTGCAAACATGGGGTGGAAGCATTTTCTTCTGGTTTTTCCTTCTATCAGCACATGACAATTTTCTTTTTCTGTTTTGTTTCTCACTTCCCAGTATTTATCTTCTCCAGGAAATATTCTTGGCGTCTAACATGCCAGGGCTGGTTTATAGCAGTGCTTAATGCTCAAAACCAACCCTCTTGACTGGCCAGTGGTTGGGTCACACGACAGCACCCCGATGGCTGAGCCCAGCGTGGTTTAACGGAGCACAAAACCACCCACCAAAGCAGCTGCTGAGGTGGCACTGGAATACCTCAATGGGAGGTGCTGGAGGGACAGGACTGGTCCTGAAGGGGCAGGACTGGCACTGGAGGGGCAGGACCAGCCGTGCAAGCACACCCACCTCTTGGATGATTTCATCGTGTTGCATCTTTGTGCACTTGCTTTTCAAAGCTCTTTACTTTAGGGCACATGATTTCAGCAGGAAAGAGTTTATGGAGTTATTTACAGCTCAATTTACTGAGCATCCCACCAGAACACTGGTGGAATGCTGAGGTGTGCGTTGTCTGATGAGTGTGGGCACAGGAGAGGAGTTTCCTTGGAGTTTTTCAATGCATTTCGAACCCCTCTCCTTCCTCCGCTCCCCAAGCATCTAACCAGTTCCAATGCAAACCTTACCCATGAGAAAACTGAAGCTAGAAAATTACAGGAATTACAGAAATGCAACAAAAGAAATCACAGGTTTCTATGGGGTAACTGATAATTTTCAGGGTTCTGTTTTTTTTTTTTAATTATCCCAAAGGATCTGTACTTGAGCTCTGCCAGAAGCCTGAGTAGATTGGCAATTTGTTACTCCATGCCACCACTGTTGAGTTCAGAGGGAGATGATGACAGTGCAGGCTCCTCATCCCACATCAACAGCTGTATTTGCTTGGATTGGATTTTGAATTTCACTTTTATTGCCTTTGATGCTAATATTTTTCAAGTAAACCCCCCAAAATCTTTGAAATTTTGCTCTCAATTGAAGACAGGGAAAGTTTTACCCTCAATTCACTAGTACAGAGATGAGAGTCCAAGGCAGATTGGAAACATGGAGTTGAGGATGTCTCCTATGATCTCTGCCACAGAATGAGGCTGCTCAGAATCTCCTGGAGAACTCTATTAATCTGAGGCTTAATTTGTTAACATTCAGTCTGTTGAACTCCTTAACTGAAAGCATCCAGAATAGTGCAGAAAGTTCTGCCTTAACAAAGTACCAGTTGTGTCAGCAGTAAAATTGGAGATGGCTTTCCAGGGAGTATCTCTAGAGTTCTCCAAAGCTGGAGCAGTACCATGGTCTCACTTGTGGTTTGGGGCTCCTCTAGGTTTTGTACTAGGTACAGTGACTTTGTACCCCAGGAAAAGCGACTGCTGCCCCATAAAGACACATGGCCCAGAGCTGCCCCTCCAAAGCATGACCGAGGTTTCTCAGACCTCAGACCTAGTTGAACAGATGTTCTCTAGATGGTGTGAAAGGCCCCCCAAATCTCATGCCAGAGAGATGTGGCTGGGCTGGGTGAATCTGCAAGGAAAGTCCTTCAGGCAGGATGAAAGCCCAGGGCTGGCTGCAGAGCGCTGGGGCAGCCCTGTGCCAGCTCCACGCTCCAGGCACAGCTTGAAGCCCAGCAAGGGCAGACACAGGGTGCTGGCACAGCAGCTGAGGAGCAGCAACAGCCAAATGTATGAGGTCTTTAGGCTCCCTGCAGCTGCAGCCACCCAGGCTCTGCTGGCTGTCCCTGCCCTGGGAGGGGACGCGGTGACGTTCAGTGGCTGCGTTTGCTGCACGTTGTCAGATCAGCACAGGAGACTCATGGACTTCAGTTCCTTCTCAAACCCATCTCACTGCTCAACTCAGAAAAGGCTGTTGCTCTGCCCAGCTCTGCCTGGATCACAGCGCAACCTGCCAGTGACACCAGGAAAGTCTGGCACCCACTGTGCACACACAGCCTGCCAGAGCCCGCCCAGCTGCTCTGCACGTGTCTGACTCCTGCCATGCTCTCAGAGACCGATGCCATCCTGGGCGTTACAGAGCCAGGCACAAACACCAGCCCACCCCCAGCTGGGCCAGGACCAGGCATTGCTGACATTAACGGGGTTGCATCAGATTTTGCCAGCTGTGGATACCGCCCACAGCTGTTGTGTGTGACCTCTCCTCCCTACACCATCTGAATTTGTGTGCTTTGAGCAAGCATGTACTCATATAAACAAAACCAGATACAGGAGGAGAGGAACCTGTTTGAGATTTGAGATGACAACTCTGCCCTCAGTTACACTTTCTTGAACAAGAGCAGATTTGGTTAGTAACAAGATACAGACCTAATTCTGAGTATTTTTACACCAGCAAAGCCCACGACTCTGGGAGAAGGAGAAGTGCTTTACACTGGCACTGGTGCAACACCAAGCACCACTGCTGTTTAGTGCCCTGGATATTTTCTCTGCAATATGGTTTCAAACACTTGTGAGAGCTGAAAACAAAGAAATGAAATACCAGCCTTGTGCAGACTTTAAAACAAAAACTAAAATGTCCAGGAAATCCCTGCAAGGTTTTGGACTGAACAGGAAGATACATTACAGAACTTTTTCAACATTTTTGTTTTTTTTCAACTTCCAAGCAGCAGAATGCCAAAATGCTAACAGGCAGGGCAAATTGAGCAAAAATAAAATATTCTGTGGACTGGGTTAGAAAGTAAGGCAGTGTTTATTTTTTTATGCTTTACACTTTGGCGAGCATTTATCCCGAATGAAGACAGCAAATGTTATTAGATTTCATGGAATGTAAATAAACAGTTATTGGTAAATACATTTTGGTGGTCTGCTTGTTACACTGCATGTCAGGAAAACTATAGGGAACTGGCAGGAGTTCAGACATCTTCAAGGAACACAGAAAACAGACATATTTTACTAATTATAGCTAACAAAAACACTCTGAGATTACAGTTAAATTACATTAAAACATAACTTGTTGGCAAAGGCTGTGAGCATAATGCTTTGCCTATATCTTTCTGTATAATGTTTCATCAGAACGGAGCAGGAACATCAGGAAACCCTGGCACAGCCCATCGGGGCTGGGCCACCTGGTCACTTTGGGTCCTGCCACAGTTTCTGTAGGTCCAGTGGGATTTCCAAGAGGGCAATGGCCTGGATTTGTCTGAAGCAGGTACTGCACAGGCGTGACCTGATGCCTTCCTTGTCATCTGCAGGAAGGGAGGGAAGGAAAAAGAGGCACTTGCTAAGCAGCCCTGGGGAAGGCTGGGTGGGCAGGAGCAGTGGGATGTAGGGGCTGCATGGCTGTGTCTCCCCGCGGGAGCTTCTGTGCCTGCACCACCTTACCTGGATGGACGGAGCTGCCTCCAGCCAAGTCCTCTCCGAGCTGTGAGCTGGGTGCCACGGCAGCACAGCACTGCCCTGTACACCCTGTGCTTCTGTCTTCTGGATCTTCTCTGCAGCACATCTCCGGGACAAGGAGAGAAAGAAGTGATGGCTCTGGTATAGAGCATGCTTTGGCTATGTCAGTGTGCAGGGACAGAAAGAAACACACCCTGACCCAAGCCAGGAACTCCCACATTTCAACCTCCCTCCTTACAGTGGAACTGTGCTGGCTATTGCCACACACCCCATGCCCAGGCAGTGTTTGTGGCATGGCTGTGAAGGGCTCTGGGACAGTCTTTGGCTGTGCACACCCTCATTGCTCCCCAAAAATCCCCTCCTGCTACCAGCCCTGGCCCATGGCACCACTGCCCCATCAGCAATGCAAACCATTTCTGCAGGAGCAGGAGCAGAGCACAGGCGGAAAGAGAGGCCTTTCTGCAGAAATTGTTATGTTTTAACGGCATCCAGAGTATTCACAACGAATGAGCTGTTGGGAATGCTGTGCCTCCACGCACCCACAGCAACAACCCACTGTGTGGGGCTTACATGGAAATCAGCTGCAGGGATGCTTTCACTACACTGAATTAGATTATAAACTATTAGCTTTATTTTTGAAGCACAGTTCGCATGAATTAATTAAGAAAGATGCTCTGAAGCGTTGCATGTGAGCAGCATTCGGGACACAAAATCTCAGGTGACACATGTTGTGCTGTTCTCCCATGGTTGTACATCAGGAGATGACCTTATTGTTGCTTTACAAAAAGTCTCCAAACTGGAAAAATTTCCTTCCTTCTGCTGGTGGGATATTAATACTGAGTAGGGCCTAGCAGGGCGATGCAGCGGGGTGGGAGGCTGGGCTGTGCCACAATGGTTATCCCTTTTAAAACCAGGTAAATCCAGGTGGTCATTAATCTGATCCCAGTTTCAACTACGAAAAAAACAGGAATCATTTCGTCTGTCGTGTAAATGAAAGGGGAATATACAGGCTAATCTCCCCAGAATATTAATAACAGTCCTGCCACTGCACACCACTTCAGAAATGCACAGTTCCCGTGGCTTGGGTTATTCTTGCATCCCTGCCCGCGTGTAAAGAAATCCTGTAATGAAATCATGCTTCACGATTACCCCATGGTAATCTCTTCACTTGAACTGTCTTTATGTCACATTTATAGCCCGTTCTTTGCTGGGAAGATTTTTAAAGGGGATCTGAAGTTTAAAAGAAGACAGATGACAAGCTGTGATGGCGAGGAAGAGAGGTTCACCATATGGAAATAGAAAGCCCTGGCTCCCTCCTCTATCCCTCCTCCCCCCTCCCCTGCCGAGTTTCTGTACTTCATATGATGCTATTGGGATTTGAAGATCAGAATACAAATTACATTATTAAATGAGGAACAAAAAAAAAACAAACTTGGGCCTTTCCTCTCCATCCTTCCATGTGATCAGTAATTAAAAATCAAAGTGGGGAAAACAACCCCGCTGGAAGCTGGCATTTGGGATATAGCCTAGTTGCCTACAGAAGGATATAATGCTCAGGCGACATGTTTGTGCCTTTGCATGCTATGGGGGTTCAAGTATGAGCTGGCTCTATAACTAAGAAGTTATTTTAATGGCAGACTTATTCACAGGGTGTATTTATTGCTTTATTTATGATTTACTTACTGGGAAGAGCAGAAGCACCACTTCTCAATCCAGTGTGAGTGTCTCCAGCACTGGACTCCTAGTCACCAAAAACCACACAGTGTCCCAAAACCCAGGACAGCTGAAGCCCCATCAGATGCTTTTTAGCCATTAATCCCTACAACCTTAATGCGTAGCAGCAACTCCTTAAAACCTGGACAGTCAAAGAGGAACAAAGGAATCCATTTCAGCTGGACAGTAGCAGTTTGAGAGTTTATTTTGCTGTGGTAAATTTTAAATGAGTTGGTGCTCCAGCCACGTTCCATCCATCGAGGGTGCCTGACTCAGATCAGCAGAGCTGGGGCTGGGACAGCAGGGACAGCACCCAGGGTGAGCCCAGCCTGGGGCAGGAGACACGCCGGGAGCCCAAGCAGGACTTGCTGGTCTCAGCCCTCCCACCTGCACCCCCAGGGAGCTACCAGGGATTTTCCATTTTTGAAAAACCCCAAGCACACACTGCAGGCCCCGAGTTTTGTAAAATTTGGCCCCATTTTCAACACTGGCTTCACGAGGCTTGGGCTCAGCTGCTGGCCTCAGTAGCCAGTGCTTACAAAATAAGCACTTAGTCCCCTCAGTGCAGATTTGGGCTATGGACATCCCATTTAGGCACCCATGTTTGAACACTGGTTCCTTGTAGCCAAAATAAATAGTTGAATCAATGCTACATAGAGTTTAATCTAAACACGTAATGGAGTCGAACTCAGATATCCACTGTATTCCATCGGCAGGTCCTGGAGATGGCAAACTGAAGCCTGCTTTTATAATGTGCCAGCACAGGGACCTGTTCCCAATTTGCAGATTTGGCCTGTTACATTCTAAAAGATGTTTAATATACTCGATGCCTGTTTGTGTTAATGTTTACCATTGAAGTTTTTCATTATTTGATGTTATATTTGGCCATAGCGTTAAAATTCCATTGGACCGACTAAAATCTAGTGTCAAATCAAAGCCAAAGCAGCATCTTTGTGATAGACTTTCAGCTCCCATCCAACCACATTAAAAAAAAAATCTATTGTAGGTGGGGGTTTTGTAGCTTTTCTTCCTTTTGCCAGAGAAACAGCAAATGCTTTATTTATTAGCTGTTTTTTTATTTGCACAGCTCTGGAAGAGCTGAGCCCAGTGCCTTGGACTGGCAGGGAAGCACAAGCTGCTGTGCCAGGAGGGCACAGCTCCATCCTGTGCCATGGGAGGCAAGATGTCTGTCACTCCCTTCGAGCCTTCTCCAGGCCTCATCATTTGGGATAACAGGATTGCCTACAGCCCTTCATACTTAAAAACTGATTCACCTTGGGGACAACTGGTGGACTGCACCAATTTTTCTACTGCTTGCAAATGGCTAATTGTTGTTTGGAACATAGAACCATGAAATCACAGAATGCTTTGTGTTGGAAGGGACCTTAAAGCTCATCTCGTTCCACCCTCTGCCATGGGCAGGGACACCTTCCACTAGCCCAGGGTGCTCCAAACCTCATCCAACCTGGCCTTGGACACTTCCAGGGATGGGGCAGCCACAGCTTCTCTGGGCAACCTGTGCCAGGGCCTCCCCACCCTCATATGGTCAATATTTGAAGCCCAAACAAAAACCCATTTCCCTCTGTGCCAGACCCCAGAGCTGCACAGACAGCAGGTCTATCCTGAGAAGCTTAAGGCCTTGACTCACAAACTGCTTAAGCACATCTAAAATGAGTCCCCTGTCCTGAGACACACTTAAAATGAGGCATCTGCATTAGCTCTGCACTTAACGAGGGGGCCTGACCTGAGCTCTGCCTCTCCCTCCTGTCCTCCCCTCCGCTCACAGGCTGAGGGTGGGATATTTTCATGGGAACTCAGTGATAAAGGATCAGGAGTCCATCCCCACATGCTGTGGGGAGTCACAAGCCCTTGGGCCATGCCAAGGACTCTTGGCACTCACAGCCTTGGAGCCTGCAAGTCACACACCTGCTCATGAGAGCCCTGGCGTGGCTCAGCGAGGCCAGAGTGAAAATAAATGAAGGCTTGCCTAAGTCCAGATGTTTCTGGATTCAAAGGGACCTGGAAAATATGAAGGCCTGAATGAAAAACTGGGAATCAACATTTAAACATAAAGCTGTGGGGGTAGGTTTGAGAAGCAGTGAGCAGTTATTCTCTCGGCCAGTTAAAAGGGTAACTCTGTGAATAGCCCATTCTCCAGTCCACCAAAGAACTGCCAAAGGAACAAGGATGTTTCAAACTGTGTCCCCTTTCCAGAATATTTCCTTCAAATTTTTTATCAAAATTAAGATACTTCACATTTCAGTGAACTTTTTCTTCTTTCAAGATCACCTTTTTGGTTTTAAAGATATAAATTAAATTCTGTAAATGTCATCTCAGTACATATGAACATTTATTTTGACAGTATTAAATGGCATATTTTGATTAATGAAGAGTTCCCACTTTAATTCAGGCTGTATTTCTTTCTGAAATGGGAAGAAAAATTCTCTGCCTGCAAAGCTTTTTTCAGGTTTACTTAAATGCTGAGACACTAAGAAGAAAAGAACACTGAAATAAGTGTTATTTGCTTATATTGTAGAGCAGCAGATCTGAAAATTACGCTCAGCCCTGGGATTACTCACATGCAAATGTTCTCTTTTAGAGGTATACAAGAAGTTGGACATTTTGGAAAAATGAAACCACATTCCTAAGAAGCTCCAATGGCCTGAGGCCACTAAGATGAGCCTCGTTAGGGTCAGACTGAGATTTCAGCATGCAGCCCCGACTTACTCGACTGTATATATGTCTGGATATAGATCTGTTAATCCTGAATGGCATCATAATGTATCATTCTTGAAGGATCTGATTTAGTCTCTGAGATCCCTGTGTTACTGGTTGTGACGTTACACACTACTGGTGCAAAAGTGAAGAAAACCAACTTTCTCCAGCATTAGCACTGGTTGTAGTGAGCTGGTCAGGGTGGATTTACCAGATCTTCCCACATCATCATCCAATTGATTATATTTCTGCTAAAATATACTGTCCAATGGGATGAATAGGTTAAGGTTTCCTTTGCCACTTTGTTGCCGTTGCTGGCTGTGTGCAGCTAAAAATATCTTAGGGTTTGAAAGTTCAGTAAATTGCACTCTAGAAAAAAAATCTGTGATGCCGTACTTAATGCAGGTGCAGAGCTGCTACTGCTGGTGCTGGTGCTCAGGGAGAAGCTTCTCCTCTCCCCATCACTGCTGTCACCTCTTCATGACAGGTATCTCATTTATGGCACCTTGTGCCTAGAGCTGAAGCCCTGGTTTCACCTCTGGTGTCACCCACTGGCCTTTAATGCCATCCTCTGGTACAGCTGGTGCCATCACCTGGTTTAGGGGGTGATCACTTGCAGTCAGGTCTGTTTGAAACCACTGGGCACCATTTCCCTCTCGTTCCCTCTGTATTTGC